TTTTTATTCTTGATAATATTGTCATGTGTAGGGGGGCACGCGTGACGAAAATGACGGGTTCTAGATAGGATGATTCGATTTATTAGCATATTGGTTACAATCTCTCTTAATCACGTTTAAATACAGCGTTATCTCTGATTTACACACACACACTGGTCCTCTCCTGATACCACAACTAAAACACAGCCTCGCTGAACCACACACTCCAATTATTACATATAAATTAAATCTTCTTGTCTTCTACGAGCTTCCCGTGGCTATCTTCCACTGAGAACTCACAACTGAATCGTAGCGCTGATTGTTTTTAAGTAACTCCTTTGCACGGACCCCACGGAAACACTGTCTCCCATTGTTGTGGATGCAGGTTTACCGTTGCGTTCCCTGGCAACAGACTTCCTATCTCAGTGCTCCTTCTCGGCGCGGACAGCATAGAAGTTCCCTTTCTATTATTGTTGGCTGTACTCGTCTTTACAAACCCCGCCGGCAGGTTACGCATTGCTGAAATCTGTCACAATATCTTTACAATAGTGGACGACCGCCCCGTCCCTAAAAAGCACCACTTGAGCATCATGTTGCACTGGGTAATAATTTGAAAGGGTTGTCCTGAAGATGAAACTTCCTATCATGCTTGTAGACTGCTGGTGTGCTACGTTTACTGTTATATAAATAATATTTCTATGCTTGTAGACTGTTGGTCTGCTACGCTCACTCTTACATAAATAATATTTCTATGCTTGTAGACTGCTGGTGTGCTACGTTCACTCTTATATAAATAATATTTCTATGCTTGTAGACTGTTGGTCTGCTACGTTCACTCTTATATAAATAATATTTGTATGCTTGTAGACTGCTGATGTGCTAAGTTGGCACTCGTATATAAACATGCGACATGTATCGACCTTATAACTTCACCACCAAGTGGCTGCTTTTATGTAATCGATGTATTGTGTTGCTTTCTTCTGCTCTAAAAACTTGAATAAAACTAGTTGCAAAATATTGTTGAATTTTTTAAACATAAGTTAAATAAGGCAAAGTTGCCCCTGTACTTAATTAATTGAGCACCATGGCACGAAGACATAGTGGGGAGTGGAGGTATAGCTCCACGTTCTTGACCTTGTGACTAGAGTGGAGGTGACTGGTCAGCTTCAAGCCTCTGCCGCTTTACCCTCCTGGGAAACAGCCCCCAGTACCCTTTGGACAGGAGGCTGCGTAGGCCCCAGAGCCGGTGTGGACGATGTGGAGAAAAAAAAGATTTTGTCCTTGAAATTTATTAAAACATATTCTTTTTTATTCTTTGTTTTCAGTTTCATTTTCTTGAGTATGTGCGGGGTCCTATTGCGGTAGGGTGCGGCCGCGCCATAGCTCAAGCGGTTAGTCGCTGGCTTCCCACCGCGACGGCCCGAGTTCCATCCCGGGTCTGGTCAAGTTGGATTTGTGGTGGACAAAGTGGCGCTGGGGCAGGTTTTCTCAGAGTACTTCGGTTTCCCGTGTCAATCGTCTTTCCACCAACTGCTCCACAATTACCCTCACCTATCATCTGGTGCTGGTACAATAGGCCAGAAGTTGCCGCAGTACAAGGGACTTAGTTGTCACAAGTTTCATTCGTGCAAAATTTGCTAGGATATGAACGCACAAACTTATGTTCTTGCGAAGTTCTATAAATATTCGTTATCTTGAAGAATGTTTGTCAGTGGCTATAATCTTGATTAACACGGTTTCTTGCAGACGTTTCCTTCCTCTCGAAGCAGCATTCCAAACACTGAACATTTTATTTTATATCACGAATAGACACACGTGTACTGGTACCAGGCGCACTTGTTTACGAACCTTGTTATCTCTCGTTATCAGAGGATGAAGTAGGGGCACGAAACATGCATGGGAGACATGAGAAGTGCATGCACAATTCCGAACGGAAAACCAAAAAGGAACAGGACAATTATAAGGGCTAGATATAGATGGGAGAACAATATTTTACGATAATTCAAACGAAACCCGTTCGGAGATTGTTCTAGGCCAGGCCTGTCCAACTTCAAAGAGGTTGTGATCGACTTTTTAGTGCCAAAACTGCCAGTGATCTACCACCCCCTCCTATCATAGTACATCGCTATAAGCAAAAATATTGATAAAAATAACACGACACATGATGTTTGTTGTAAAGGCAACATACATTGAAAGTACAGAAAAATAGGAATGATCAATACTCATTTTCCCTTCAAAATCTGAATATTAATTCGCTTAGTGGGGTGGGACTAAGTCCCTTGTACTGCGGCCACTTCTGGCCTCTCGTCCCAGCCCCAGATGATAGGTGAAGGTGATTGTGGAGCAATTGGTGGAATGAAGATTGGCAGGGGAAACAGAAGTACTCGGAGAAAACCTGCCCCAGCGCCACTTTGTCCACCACAAATCCCACTTGACCAGACCCGGGATCCAACCCGGGCCTCCGCGGTGGGAACCTAGCGACTAACCGCTTGAGCTATGGCGCAGCCCCAAAATCTGAATATAATCGTATTATATTACGAGTGAATGTACATGCTTTTCAAGTATAATTTCCTTATAGTCCTATGAGATCGCCCAAAAATCGTCCCGCGATCGACGCGTTGGACATGCCTGTTCTAGGCGGAGCAGAGGTCGTTGAAATAGTCCCCATGGGCGCTGAGGGAGGCAACTCACTGAGGACGCACCAGCCGATTGATCGCATGTGCAGAATACTCCCTGTGTTGATGCTGGAACCACTGCACCATCTACACACAGCCGAAAATGCGAACTCCGATAAGTTAGATGTTGAAATAACAGGATATGGAGGATATGGATTGGATTCATCTGTTTTAGAATAGGGGTAATTTGCGAGTTCTTATGAGCATGGTAATGAACCTTATAGTTTCTTGAAAGGCATAGAATTTCTTGAATAGCTGCGTTAATATTAGCTTGTAAGAAGGACTCACCGCTGCGTGGAGTATGCGATATTATGTCTGTCATAGAACCAGATAACACTAATTAATGACACTATAAGATGGATTTTGACCGCCTCTGTGGTGTGGTGGTCAAGAGTTCCAGGCTACAGATCCAGAAGGCCCGGTTTCGATTCCCGGCGCTGCCAGATTTTCTGAGAACTAGTGGGTATGAAACGGGCTTCACTCAGCCTTGTGACGATAATTAAGGACCTATTTCAAGGAAATAACAGCTCCGGTCTAGAAAACCGAGATTAACGGCCGTGAGGATCCGTTGCGCCGACCACGTGACACCTTTATACGCAAAAGTTGGCACTAACTTCTCCGACAAGCGGCGTCGCTCGGTCGGTATAGTTCCCTTGCGGACTAAAACTACGGATTTTTTTGTTGTTACACTTCCGCCTGCGTTTAGTTCTATGTCTTCCTACTTATGGCTGTACAGTCTTTTTGTTGGACCTTGGCCGCATTTTCAATTTCTTAATCCTATACACGGTCGGTAGGACACCTCGGACGGGGGATCAGCCGTCGCAACAGGACAGCACACAATAAACGCGCACAGACATTCGTGCCTTGAGTGGGATTCGAGCCCACGATCCCAACGTTCGAGAGAGCGAGGACAGTACATACTTCAGACGGCGCGGCCACTGGGATCTGCTGTGTGTCTTTAAATGAAGGACCTGCGAAGGAAGTAATAAATTAAGGCTTCAGACAGAGAAGGATGTATGCAGTCGCTATTCCGTTCTGTATAGCATTCATCTTGTCGACCTTGAGAGAGACCAGAACAACACAATTGATCCAGGAAGTAGAATAAGACAAATGCTCAAGTATGCTTATTTATGTTCGCGATTGGGCATAACTTAATATAACTCCGCGAGGAAATTTTTCATCGTGTAATTTGTAATTTATTTTTTAAATAAAAATAGTGTGATAGAGGATCCCATATTATGGCCCTGTGACCCTGGGGTGGACTCAACCTCTAACAGAAATGAGTATCAAGAATCTTCCTGTGGGGTAAAGGGCGGCCGGCGCGTAAAACTGACAGCCTCACCGCCACCTATGAGCCGATTTTCTAGAAAATATGGGAACCTCGACGTCTCACAACCCCTTGGGCGTCCACGGCCTGTTGCAGGGATACAATTATGTCCTTAGGCACTCAGCGAATTTGTGGGTATGTTAACGTAGGTAACTACATTGGTCGAAGTGTAACTGCTTTCTGAAGCCATGCTGAGAAGGATCAGGTCCAGTTCTTAACAAATAACGGGAATTATAATGGATAATTATTTAACATATTTTTAAAAAATCTTGAATAAGCGAATACTCTTTATAAGCCTAATTATTACCCATAATGTAAGTACCTTTTTTAAAGATTAAGGATACCGAAATTGTGTCAAAATTGACAGTTTATGGAATTTTGTTTCATGCTTTCAAAAGATGCTTTATTGTCTGAAGATTTTAAATAGCATCGCTTTATTCCCCTGGGTGTCTCCAAAGGTCGTGGAAAGTAATATCAGAATTTGTAAAATAATTACAATTCATTTGTAGACCAAGTAAGTTATATATAAAAGACTACTGCTTGGAGATGATAGGTCGATAACGTAGAAGTATTTTGTAACAAGACTGTCACACACACTGTGTTCCAAACAGAAACACGAGTTCAGAGTGGCGCAACATGTAGCGCCAGTATAAATATGTATTAAGAAGAAATCATCTGTAGGTTGACGTCTGATATGCAGTGTTTGGAGATTTGATCTTTCTAATTGACTAACATAATGTTAGTGAATAATCTAAAAATCCTTTATGGTAATAGTAATAATAATAATATGACAACAAATAATGGAGATTGTCATGAAATGTTACAACTGTTTTTGTTGCTGATGTTACGTAGAAACCTATGTTAAGCCATATAACGTAGAGAGTTATGATATAGCTAATGTGAACAGTGCTTAATAATTTATATAACTGGAAATTGTGTGAACAGGTTTTTATAATATATATAATTTGTAATTTAAAGGAACTGAGGTTTGTGTTAAATTGATTTATTTGTTATTACAGGCGTTCCTTCAAAACAAACCCGAAAAGAGGGCCCGGGGCACCGCAATAAACTCGTCATTCACCTTCAAGTGTTTCGACCACCAGACCTGTGGAGGCAATGACACGAAATCTTGGCAACAGCAGCAGTAGCTGTCAGTACAAGACTCACTTTCGGGATCATCGAATTAAGTGCAACGAGAGTGAGGATTTGAGCAATCTGCAGTCTTCGTTGCATAGGTATCGCTTGGCCGTCACGACGAACAGCAACGAGCACAGCGAGCTTTGCAAGCCCGTGAATGTCACGTCTTCCTTATTGTGCAGTGAAACAGGAGGAAGTGAAATCGGGAAACACAGACACAATTACCGTATTCGGCGCGAACGCGTGTGCAGATCCTGGACCAGTGGTTACGGTACGTTGGTGGAGGATAAGGAGTCCGCTTTCCATCGAGACAGAGTCGTGTTGTTCGCAGATAAGCAGCAGCAGCAGCAGCATCTAGCTCGCCAGAAAGTGTGTCCACCAGACTTGCGCAGTAAGCTTCGCCGCGCCACATCCCTTGTCATCGCCACGCCCTGGAAACACCAGACTCACACAGCTGATGCTGTCCCCAACGCTGCTAAAGCGAGTCATCGTCGTAGTCGCATCGATCTGTTGCTGATGCCGAGTCTCAAGTCCCTAGTGAGCCGACGCTCCTCCTCGTCCCGTGCAGCAGGGATCAGTGGAGGTAGGGACAGGACCCTGCTTGTTCCCGGTATGGGCGGTAGCTCTAGCAGTTCCGTCCTGGCTGCCGGGAGCGGGGGCAAGTCGGTAGGTGACGTGTCAACTGTAGGAGCAGGTGCTACTCTCATGGTGCCACTAATGAAAAGAGAAGCGAGTTGCAGTAGCCTTGCGCCGTCAATAAGAATAAATGGGAACGATTTTCGTGGCAGTGGGATGATAAGTGATATACCAAGCGGAGAGCAAGCTGCTAGTGGTGGTGGAAATATGAGGAAGTGCGAGACAATGCTCACTTTGTCAAGTTTCGGTGCCGCGTTGCAGAGGTCAGCGTCCTCCTCGCGGACTACGATACACGTAGAACCGTTAAGACCGGTAAACAGATTACGCGTTCTACCGCATTATTCAAGTTCAGGGCTTTCTCCGAATGTTGGAGGCGGCTCTGTGAGTAGGATGTGTTCACGGTGTAGCAGTCTACTCTCCATGGCTTCCTCATCACGGTATTCTCTCAACACGGCCGGTGGTGGATTTGTGCCCTGCAGTCCTGGTGGAAATCAGCCCGACCAGAGCTTACTCTGCAAGTTGTGTCTAGGGGATGTTCCTTTCGGCATGGCGTACGAAATTAAACAGTGTGGCTGCGCCTTCTGTAAAGACGTGAGTAAACTTTGTCAAATTTCCAATACAATTATTATTATTACATGATACTGCCGTGTTAGCAGGGGGGCGTGTTCTTAGAGCGATCACGAATAGCAAAATTCGAGACTAGGTCCGTGAACTATGAATTGACTGAGACCTAGTACACGGCCTTTAAATGTTATTACGTACATTTAACATTTACACTTGCATTAATGTTATCACCTGCAATTATTTCGGGAGGCATGGGGTCACGGGAAACAGAAGAGGTGATTAATTGCGCATCATACCGCCACATAGCGACGCACTGACTGGGATATTGTGACGCAGCGCGCGTGGTTTAGATGCTCAGACTACGCACGAGGCTGTAGTGTTGTTTGCATTGCGAAGAAGACCGCGAATACGGAGCAGTCACTTTTTATACAAAGGGATGTAAAATCCAAATGGAATGCCCCGTAATGGCTGCTCGTTAAGGATTGCAGCGTGAAAATACAAAGTACCGTTGCGAAGTCTGGAGTTCTTATGTACTTCATACGGTTTTGTCTGCCAGCTTGTATACTTTTGATGAATCTTTTGAGGGTAAATGTAGGTCAAGTTAATCTCTAGGTTCTGGCAGATTTGCCTGTTATGTACATAAAGCCCAGGAAATGAAGACAACTCTTCTTCTGCTTTGACGGAATAGCTCTTTGGCATGTGCCCATTCAGAATTAATTAAATTTGAAATTTGAATCTTACAAACAGTTTGTAGGACCCCTTGGACAAGGGATCAGCACGCCTCAAGGCCGCTATCTACACAGGACGAACACAAACACAGAATAAACGCAGACAGACATCCATGCATCGAATGGAATTCGAACCCACGATCCCAGTGTTTTAGCGGTCGAAGACATTTCATGCATTAGACAGCTCGGGTAACAACTCATAACAGTAAAATAAGGCACGTGTTTCTCCGTGCTTAAGCTCCGCCCCACGATGACGTCTTTACCATAGCTTTCGTCGCAGAAAGTGGAAAAATGTACGTCCCGGCAGCTAATCCCAGGGATGTAAGTTTTGAGGTTTTCACGGCGATGACAATGAAGAAAGTCGTGTTCTGGGTTTAGGCACCGTGTATTCTTCGTTTTGGCCGACGTTTCNTGCAGAAAGTGGAAAAATGTACGTCCCGGCAGCTAATCCCAGGGATTGTTTAGGTTTGACGTCTACAATAGCAGAACTGTTTATTTTAATTATGACTCATAATTTTTAGATCTGCAAGAATTATGCCTGATAGTAGGTTGTGATCTTCACACCTAGTAACCCAGGTGACGAGCATTGCGCATGCGCATGCGCCAATATCGTGAAAGCCTTTCAACCGTTATGTCAGTGTAAGCTTATCAGGTCCATTCTCAATTTGTAAGGGCAGCATGTGAACTGAACACGAGTTGTCATGGCCCGCAATTATGTTTTGGCCTGCCAAACTCGTCCCTGTGTGCGTCGCCACGCTCATATGTGTGTGGTGAAATTAATCCGAGCCAGACTCGTACGTGTATGGGCCGCCTAAGGCATGAACTGTCTTCGCTCGCTCGAACAATGGGATCGTGGGTTCGAATCCCACTCAAGGCATGGATATCTGTCTGCGTTTATTCTGTGTTTGTGTGTATGTAGCCGCCTTGCAACAGGCTGATACCCCGTCCAAGGAGTCCTACCGACTGTGCATACAATTAAGAAACTGATAAAGCGGCCGAGGTCCGCTGGGGCTGTAGTGCCAAGGGGAAAAAAATCATTGAAGTTCATTGATATGAGGAGTGGTTGAAATCATTCCTGCGGCGTCATTGTGCTTCTGAGAGATGCAGTACTACACTCATACTTCCATATGCTACAATGATGATTTCACGTCTTAATTTAACATACAAAGTAAGGTAAATTTGTACCTGTGCTTTAACTAATTAAGCACCACGCCATGAAGGCGTATGAGGGAGTGCATGTATATATCCACATTTTCTTGACCTCGGCACTAGTTGAAGGTGAGTAGTCAGCTTCACGCCCCGGCCGCTTTACCCCCGGGGAAAGAGCCCCTGATACCCATTGGGTGGACCCCACAGCTGGTTTGGACAACGTGGAAAAGAGAAAATTCTTGCTCCTACCGAGACTCGAACTCCGACCTCTCTGTCGTCCAGCCCGTAGCCAGTCGCTTTACCAACTGAGCTATCCCGACTCATAACATGCAGACATATCGGCAAAATGAACTGTTATCAAAATAAGTTAACATTCGTTACTCCAGACAGGTAAATATGACTTTCTGTAGAAACATATGAATTTTGCCTCCTTAGTAAACGGTCTTCACTATTCCTCACGTCGTGGTTTTGTGTGTAAGTGCGGCTGTTACGTAGAACACGGACAATAATTGCCGTATCACTTCTACTGTCGCTAAGTGTTATCGGCAGCGGGTTTTTCGTTGAGTATACGTGCTCGTAGAATAAAAGAAATCACCCCGTTACGTAAAGAGTCCAATAACCTAAGTATGATCTTTGTTAACTGTTCCGCTGTGGTATTCAGCGCTTTGTGAAGTGACGTGTTTTGCCCCCCCCCACGTAACGTGATGTATTGTCCTGGGCGCCATGAAGCCAGTTGAGACAAGCAGTACACGGTTCTCTCTGTGACTGCGTAGTGAGTCTGCATTGGTATTTGAATATGCTGTGAGGGTTCCAGAGGACATACAAGTGACAGCTAGTGACGTCACACGAACTGTTGACGTTGTGTGCAATATTAATAGTTGTCTCAGGCAGCCAACTGTACAGAACTTTCTTTCCTTCCTGTTGTTTTTTCATCCTACATTTTTTTTATTGTGGCTGTTTTTGAGTTGGCACCAGTGCTCTGCCACAGGCGGTTAGTTGCCGGCTTACCACAGACGTGACCGAGGTACGATCCCAGGTTACGTGGAATTTATGGTGGATGAAGTGGCACTGGGGCGGAATTTCTCCAGGTACTTCGGTTTCATTGGATAGCGCTGTTGGTATAGCGACTAGCTACGGGTTGGAAGACCGAGGGGTCGGAATTCAAGTCCCGATAGGATAAAAAATTTTCTCCACGTCATCCAGACCGACTGTGGGGTCCACCCAACCTCCTATCCAATGGGTGCCCTAGAGTAAAACGGCCGGGGCGTGAAAGTGACCACTCGCTTCCAGCTATTGCCGAGGTTAAGAAAATGTTCATCTGTACCTCTGCTCTTCCCCATACGCCTCCACGCCATAGTGCACAGGGACAACTTTACATTTTTTTTACCCTTGACTTCGGTTTCATTTGCCAGTTTTCGTTCCTCCAGCTGCTCCATGTTCATCACATCCTGTCATCTTAGTACCGACACTCGATAGTGCAGTCACTGCCGAGTGTGCACCTTATGCGTTTGAGTAAATTGTACTACGGATTGTGTTGATGAAGTCACTGCATTTTCGCTTGGCACATCGCGTAAAACGCGAGCCCTCGATTGTAGACCATGAAGTGCTGAAGAGCGCGATACCAGGGAGTTAAGCTCTCCCTCGGGATATAATTTTGTCAGTCAACTTGTTTAGGTTTTATTATTAACGTGTCCACGTGCTGCCTGTCCTTTGCCACGCGTGAAAGTAATATAACAGGCTGTTAGCAGCTACAGCGTTGTCCTGGAGACGAAGAGCGTACCGGAAGTTACAGCCCATTTTGTTTTGTAAACTATAATTTTCCAGTAGTTTTGTTTGCGCATGAAACTTGGTCTCTGACGTTGAGGGAAGGGCATAGACGTAGGGTAGGGTGCTGAGGCGAAACTAACGGCCGTGGGGATCCGTTGCACTGACCACGCGACAACCTCTATCTGCGGCGGCCGCTCGGTCGGTATAGTTCGCTTGCGGACTACAGGCTACGGTGTGTAAGGACCAAAGGATGGCGCTTGTGAACACGGTTATGAACCACCGTGTTCAGTAAAATGCTGGTAAGTTATTCATTAGATGTGACTGGCGGCCTCACAAAAGGGACGCAGCCTCATGGAGTTGGTTCGTAAGTTAGGAAAGTCTGGTGTTATATTGTAACTTTAATTGCTGTTGGTTTTCTGGGATGCGTCGTCATGTAGTCTTGTAGGCGGATATTGACGATCCGGGGAAACATGATACTACCATCATCAGCGTTGAAATGTCGTTATTGTCATTCAGGACGGCAGAGGAACATCAGGATGTACGGTCATTAAGTTTCTCTTTACACAGGAAGCTTCCAGTGCTGAAATTCGTCGACAGTATACAAGCATAGCAGTCACTCATGATCCACGTGTTTGGGTGGTGTCTTGTGTTTCAGGAAAGGCGATAAATCCGTTAGTGATGACGTGATGTGACGTACATTGCTGTCACTGATGCATACATGATGATCAGGCCGAACTGCGCAAGTCCCTTATTTCTGACGGACGGTTGCAAGAATCTTGTCCGTCGCTTTGTTTTCTACAGCAGCGGGAAAACGGACGGAGCTGCAATCTACTTATGGAAGGAAATACGCATACCTAAATGAAGCCGTGCAATTGGTAAAATGAGATTGTCTTCATTCTGTTCTCTGTGGCCTGTCCGTAGCGTCTTACGACAAACGCCGCGCATGCGAAGTAGGTTCCTCGTTTTCGCGCACCGGACTGTAGTTCCTCTTGCACAATAATAGTGGCAGCAGTTTATAGTTTACTCATCTTGATGTTTTCTTAATTTAGTTATATTACTCATACTGTGAGGCTAAAAACTGCATAATGAGGAGCTTCATAACTTGTACTCTTCCCAAAGTGTAAGGGTAACTAGGATCTTCAAGTCAAGGAGGACGAGGGGCAGGGAATGTGGCACGATTGGGGGGGAAGAGGAATGCATATAGGATATTGGCGGAAAATCCAGAGGAAAAGAGACAACCCATTTTGATGTGTTAATTTATTTGTATTCATAGTATGAGACTGAGAAAACTGCATAGTGAGGAGCTTCATAACTTGTTCTCTTAGCCAAGTATAGTTAGAATGATCAAGTCAAGGAGGATGAGATGGGCATGGCGAAGAGGAA